AATGATGAATATTTCGATCGATCAGTTTACCCGGACTCCCATTCATTTCGAGATTATCCGTTTTATTGATGCATTTTTATGATTGAAGGCATCTGATTTATTGTTGAAGATTTATTTCGCTTGGATCGTTATAAATTTTGTGTGAAAGCATTTGTTGTAAGTTGTATTGTTGTTTTTGCATATTTTTGAAGTAAGTCTTGAAGGCGTTGTCGAGCGCATCGGTCCCGCTAGGGGACCCTCCCGGCCACGTCACGCAGGATTTGGCAGGACTTCCGTCGCGGAGAGCGAAGTGTCGCTCCGGCCGAGTGCGCCAGCCGTACCTCTCGCGAGTCCCTGCGACAGGACAGAGCCACGCGAGGCACCGCTTTACCTCCATCTGCGGGAGCTGTCACCATCACTTAGATGGGCGTATCCCCGCCGAGCTACTTAACCACATGCAAAAGTTTTTCGTATGCAATTGCAGAGGTGGCCCAGCCGAGGGCGTTTCTCGTTCGCTGTAGCATAGGGGGTTACGCGCGGTCGAACGCCCAAGAAATCAAACCTGCACGTGAATCGACGTTTTGGGGGGCTGAGGTCCCAAACGCGACTCGACGCCGGTCGACTAGGACGCATCACGCACACTACGCGTACACCACAACACTCACATTTACCCACACATAACACATGGAAAAACACAAAACAAAACACAACATCACAACACTCCTAGTCCCTTCAGTATCTGACCCATAACTTCATGGTGTGGAAATCGGTAAGTNTGGAAAAACACAAAACAAAACACAACATCACAACACTCCTAGTCCCTTCAGTATCTGACCCATAACTTCATGGTGTGGAAATCGGTAAGTGTCGCTCGCGCGGGTTAACATAAGGCCACGCGACGAGAGGACTTACGCATATCGACCAACAATGCGGATTTTGCGTAAGCAATCATGATGTCGGCGCACCATGTAGTGCCCATACCGGAGTGGCCTCGTTTAAGCCATGGGGTCGCTTTCGATGCTCAGGCGTCGGCTGAAGCGCACGCTAAAGGGGGTAAACCTTTAGCGAGCGCAAAAACCGGCCTGAGGGCCTTACCATCTTCAGCACCCTGAAGTGTCCCAAAGGGTGCGTGGTAAGATGGTCCCTAGGGCAGGAAGGGATTCAGAGCGGTGGTGAGTTGTCTGGCGCATCACCAGCAACACGCTAATCCTTCCGCCCGGAACTTTATTGTTCCACCAAAGCAAATTAAACAAGGAAAGAGAAAAGGGGCGCTTGACGCTAGCAGAAGAAGACATGAATGCCCTGCTGGACCGAGTTGTTGGGGGTCAGTCCCTCCTCCTTGCGGTGCTTCTGTTTCCCTAGGGCAGTAAGTAGGTCAGAGTTGTGCGAAGGGTAATCCCTTCAGCCCCGAACCTAGGACCTGGGACTAACGTTTGACCATATAAAATAAAAAAGTAGAAGAGAGTCGTAAGCGTGTGGTCGCATATCTTTGTGAGGGTTATCCGAGCGTACGCCTGGCGCCATTGCCAGGGATCTCGGCTGCCTACCGGGGTCCACAGTGAACGAACCCAGGTTAAGAGCAGGCTGATGATTCAGGCAAAACGACAACCCTTGATGAAGAAGTTTGATGATGATATGAGTATTGTGCTATCTTCGATGGCCTAACAAAATTTATTTTTGATTGCGAGTAAGGTTGAGAGTGTGCTTTGTGTGTATTCGTTTCAAATAATAGAGTCGGAATTACGATATAAAGATCGGATAGATTACCTTAGTTATTAAAAGTATGTTCGATCGAATAACGGAGCTAGAGAATTTAGAGGTTTGACGGCAGGTTGTTCCTCGAAATCGTTTTTTCTTCGCAACAGGTCTTGAGGAAGGACAAAGATGCCGGACTCAGATGGAATCGAGCGGGGACCGGGTACTACACCCGAGGACTTCGTCAAGGCTTTGGAAAAGAAAGAGATGGCACGGCTTCAGGTGCCCAAGGTTAACATCTTCCACTTCAATGGGGATAGGGTGTCCGAGTGGCTTGAGCTGTTGGAACATGTCACTTGCGAGGCATCAAAGGCAGATAAATTTAAGCTGATGCCTAGGAACGTATGGTGAGAGCTTAGACCTGACGTAATGAAAGTAGCGGCCGACGCAAATGGTGATTGGGCAAGGTTTACAGAGGAGATGCAGAGGCATTTCAAGTTAGGGGATGGCCTGCTCACAAAAGAAGACCTGGAAATGTTGAGACGGGACGAGTTCTCCACGGTGGGAGCCTTTGCCACAGCATTTGAGAAGATGGCAAAGAAAGTCCCAGGGCTGGCAGAAGAAGAACAATGTGCCACTTTCCTAGGGCACTTCAAGAATTGGGAAGCCTTGTCGCTAACCAAGAAAGCTGCGCCAGGAAAAAAACTGACTTGGGGTGTCATAAAAGAAGGCGTGCTAGAGGGAGAGTTGAACCAGGTAGACATTTTCCAGATGAGACAGGCTAGGAAGGAAAGGAGGACTTTGGATACTATCGCTAGTGATGGGCACAACTTCAAGCTAATGATAGAAGAGGCTGTGGCCCAGCACGATGCAAAGAAGGATGCAAGAAAGAAGGTTATGGCGGCGCCACAAGCCCAAGGGAAAGGAAAGAAGGTGGCAGTGCTAGAGGAGGAGGAAGAAGAAGAAGAGGAGCCTGAACCACAAAAGTTGACAAAGGCTCAAAGGAAGGCAAGGAACACGACTCAAGGAGGGCAAGGCTCAGGAAAAGGTCAAGCCCCACAGGCTGTGGCGATGCCACTCCCAGAGTCGTCCGGTCAAGCCGCACCAGCGCCCTATGGGTCATGGCCAGGTTGTGGACCTCCCAGTCATTGGCATGGGCATTATTCATATGCACCATGGCCAACGGGCGGGCCGCATGGATCATGTGACGGAGCGCCGATGAGTACTGCTTCCTGTGGATGGCCGGGACCCTAGTCTCAACAGGTGAGTCACTCGAACCCACCGCCAAGCCAACCTCAGCAGTCGGCCCCACAAGAATCATAAGGGAATCAAGGTGGTGGACGAGGACAGAATCAAGGAGGGGCCCGAGGGCGAGGAAATGGTGGTCGCGGGGGATATGGGAGAGGAAACGCGAACAGTAACTCCCAGAGAGGAGGAAGTGACAGGTGGAACGGTGCGGNCCGAGGGCGAGGAAATGGTGGTCGCGGGGGATATGGGAGAGGAAACGCGAACAGTAACTCCCAGAGAGGAGGAAGTGACAGGTGGAACGGTGCGGGGAATCAGAGTGACCAGCAAGGCGGTGGAGGATATGGAAGAGGAAGGATAGATTGGAGAAATGCCATATGTTGGCATTGTGGCCAGAAGGGCCACACAATTAAGTTWTGTCAGGTCCGGAAGAGTGATGAAAAGGATGGCCTGATGAGTTCAAGCTATGATGGTGATTTTTTCGACATGTACGGTGAGTGCATAGACCCGAGAATCCCAGGGGGGATAAAGGAAGAAGCTCTGCGGCGTGCTAATGCCCCAGCTCCACCAGCCCCTCCGACCGCTTTCCGTATTTGGCAAGAAGTAGAAGATCATCAGGGCGTGAGGATAGAGGAGATAAGCGAAAGTGAAGAGGTTGAGCAGAGATTGAGGGCCGGCACCATAAAGCAGGAACCCATAGTGGTTGAATCGAACGGCGAAGGAGAAGAGGATAATTTGGTAAGGGCAAGAGATACGATGGAGAAGATGGAGGACCTGTTGGCAAAAATCGGGAGGTACCAGGATAAGATGACCACTCTTTGTGAGGAAGTCAACAGGTGGAAAGGAGAGTTACCATTAGTATACCTCATCGATTCAGGTCCAGGGGCACAAGGCGGGTCTGGGAACCTGCCTGAAGTGACCGTCACGACATCAACTCCTAGGTCTGGAATGACCTTCAGGCCGCCGTCAAGAGCCGGAAGGGCAGCTTTGGCAGCACGCACTAGATCGAAGGGGGCACCCGACTCCAGCCAGCCCACTCAGGACAAACCGGGACCCAGTGGCGAGAAAGAGACGGTAGAGATTTCAGAGGATGAGGAGGACGAGGATGAGAAGTTGAGGAAGGAAGAGGATAAGAAGGCTGAAGAGAGAGCCAAAAAGAGGGGCGCCAAAGCGAGCGCTGATAAAAAGCAGGAGGGAAAGAAGAGAAAGTATAAGGTCAGAATGGAGGAGGGGTTCGACGTGGAAGGAATGGTCGATCGACTCCTTGAAGGCCATAACGACCTAAAGAATTTAAAAGAAATCCTCGCCTCCGCTCCAAAATTGAGGGACGAGCTGAAGGCTCGATTGTCCAGAAGATTAGTAGCAAGTGTGTGCTTGGGGACCATTATCCCCAAGGAAGGTGAGTGGGCTGAGACAGGCACGAAGATGGACTGGAAGTCCGTGGCGTGCGGGTGCATAGAAGTGATGGTAAAGGGTAAGCTGTGCACCGCAATGATAGACAAGGGGGCGGAAATGAACCTCGTCAAAGAGGAACATGCGATTCGTCTGGGGATGAAGATCGATCGCTCCGACAATGGGGTCCTCATGGGGGCAAATAGCAGGTTTGTATTTACAGGGACTGCGTCAAGCGTGGTTGTCGAGATTGGCAGGGTAAAAGTAAGGAGTTGCTTCTTTGTAATGCCAAATCTTGATCACCCTATTCTGCTGGGCCGATCATTCCTAAGTAGGACTGAGACTCTCATCATTAACAAACATGATGAGACCATGTTCTTGGCACTTTGCGACCCTGTGTGTGGAAATTATGAGGTAATTACATGTAAGAACACAGGGCCATGAAGTATAAGGAATCGACCCAACCCCAACTCTTTTACTATCGAAGAGTCAGAGGAAGAAAGGATGAGGATGGAAGGTGGAGAGTCTGAAGGAGATGATCCGTCAGAGGCTTTGACACTCAGCCTGGCAAACATAGGGGATGCTATGGACATAGTATCCACCTATGGAATGGAATACCCTGTGGCAGTAGAGGCCCTCAGGGAAAAGGTGATGGAGAGGAGAGGTGAAGGTGAGGCAGAACTCGTATATCGAGTGTCTAGGAGGGTAGGTGGAACCGCAGGAGCACACCCCCAAACTGCAACTCGGCCTTTTTTAGGGGTAACCTCAAGCAGGGTTCACAAAGGCGGTACAAAATGGTAGATCAGAAGTGCCGCCCTGTTCTCGTACTCGTCGCTGAGGAACAAGAAGTTTATTACGAGCGGGAACGAGAGTTGATACGGCAGATGCGAGAGGACGCACAGAATGGGCCATGTCGTATCTCTCCTGAGACAGAAAAAATGCTGATTATAGGGGAGCCCGGCTTCCTTACGGCGCAAGAGGAGAAGCTTATGGTAGAGACCATAAGAGGAAGGCATACTGCATATGCCTTCAATGATGATGAACGGGGCCGTCTAGATATGGATAGAATCCCGATGATTAGGATACATACCGTTCCCCACGAGCCATGGAACTTGCGGGGTGTGCGGTATCCTAATCCTGCTGATGAAGAAAAGGTAGTTAGCTACCTTGACGAAAAAATCCGCACACATGTGTCCGACTACTCGAGCGGACCGTATGCATCCCCTTGGTTTTGTTTCGTCAAACCAAACGGGACCTTGAGGTGGGTAAAGGATTTGCAGCGCCTAAATGCTCTAACTGTGAGAGATGCATGTGGTCTCCCTAACGCAGATGCGCTTTCAGAGGCATGCGCTGGGAGAGCCATCATATCTCTCATAGACTTATATTCTGGTTACGGCCAGTTTCCTGTTTACCCCTCTGACAGGCTTATGACGGCAATGCATACCCCTCGAGGTTTAATTCATATGAACGTCGCACCACAGGGGTGGACAAATGCAGTCGCCATGGTCCAGAGGCACATGGTGAGGGCAATGCAGTCAGTAAGCCTTCACATTACTCAGCCTTACATTGACGATCTGGCCGTAAAGGGCCCTAAGGAGAAGAATGAGCAGGAGGTGATGCCAGGGGTTAGACGTTTTGTCTGGAACCATGTGCAAGACTTGTGCAGGGTCCTAGACTTGCTAAAGGAGCATAACCTCACTGCAAGTGGGTCTAAATCAAGACACTGCATGAGCGGGGCCACCATCTTGGGGTTTGTGTGCGACGAGAGGGGTCGTCGACCAGACACTAAGAAAACCAATAAGATTCTCAAATGGCCAACCCCATTCGAGACTATTACGGAGGTAAGAAGCTTTTTCGGAACATGTGGGTTCTGGAGGATCTTCATAAAAGGGTTTGCGGCAAAGACTGAACAATTACGAAAGCTTGTACGCCAAGGACAAGACTGGGAGTGGGGAGATAAGTAGGAGTTGGTAATAAAGGGCCTAAAGAAGGAATTCGAAGAAGGGGGTATAGTACTGGGAGTACCAGACCACTCGGTGGTAATGACCAGGCCTTTTATTGTAGCGACTGATACAGGGCCAACTGCGTTAGGAGGTGTGTTGATTCAACAAGACCTTAACGGAGAGGAGCGACCACTAAGGTTTGAAAGTCGCACGCATAACAAAACTGAGAGAAATTACTCTCAGTTTAAGCGCGAGACCTTGGCGGTTCTCCATTGCTTAAGGATCTTTAGAAACTACCTCTTCGGCAACAGGTTCGTGTTGAGGGTGGACACAACTGCTCTAGCCGGTTCTCTCAAGAATTTCGCTCCATCAGACCCGACTATCGCCAGGTGGTTAACATACATCTGGATGTTCGATTTTGAATTAGAGCGAATTCCAGGAAATAAGAATAGAGCAGACGGATTGAGTCGAGTCGACTGGGACAAAAATAATCAAGGAGTGATCGAGGATACTCCGCCAGTTGATGGATTCCTGGACGCTGAGGAGGATGTGAGACTTCACATCAACTCCTGGTCGATGGCCGTGGGTAACTACGTTACTCCTGGGCAACCTGTGTGGCTCGCGCCTCCAGGACATGTACGATGGCCAGACCTAGTCCTTAAGCCTTTCATCGAAGAGGACTCGTGGGGGATGCCAAACGTGCAGTGGATGATGGATCTGGCCTTAGCAGACAAATACCAGTTGCACGAAGACCTACTCACGATGGAAAATGGGGCGCAACAGGTGGAAGGGAACGAGAGGTCGATAGGTGGGATATACCTCTTGGCAAACGCTCTGCTTCAAGACGAGGTGGCAAGGATCGGGGATCAGCGGCAAGGTGAGAATGAGAATGTAATCCACGAAGGAGAGGACGACGATTTTGAGGAGGGAGAGATAAAAGAGGCTTTTCGCGCGGAGGAGTATGACAGGATATATCTGGAGTTAGGAATGCTCCTTTCGTGTGAAATGAGAGAAAGAGATGCGTGCGAGAAAGTTCTCAAGATGCGACCAAACTTCTTAGTAAGGGATGACCATCTATTTATGAGGAGTAAAGGAAAGACTCCAAGAAGGGTAGTCTGCGGCATTGCTCGTCAGATCGACGTCATAGCTGCCCTACATGATGGTAAGGCAGGTGGCCATAGGAGTAAGGATACAACTTTCCTCAAAATACACGAGCTATACTATTGGGATGGCATGAGACGAATGATCAACGATTATTGCAAGTCATGTGTTCCATGCCAGGAGCGGTCTTCCATTAGACCTAGGGAGCCGCTTCACCCAAGGTACGTACGCGAGGTTGGGGTGGTCGTACATTTGGACTTATTGGCAATGCCGCTTGGAGTAGGTGGGTACAACTTTATCTTCGATGCACGAGACAACCTCTCTGGTTTTGTAGATGGCAGAGCCATACGCACAAAAACTGGTGAGACCTTGGCTCGATGCATTGAGGAGTATTACCTCCGCTACCCTTTTGTCTTCAAATTCGTAATGGACAGAGGGTCCGAGTTCACTTGTGCTGAGGTGAAAGAAGTGCTGAGAGAGTATGGAGTGATCGCAGAGATTACTACTGCGGCGCACCCTCGAGCTAATGCACCTGTGGAGAGGGGTCATAGTACGATCACGAATCTCCTCGCTAAGTGGACGAATGGTAGGCCAAATTAGTGGCCTAACTTCCTAAGGGTCGCCTTCTTCGTGGATAACATCACTGTCAGAAGAAGCACCAACTACGCGTCAGCAACGTTGTGGTATGGCAGACATGTGACCTTCCCTATCGAAAGCTTCCTAAAGACTTGGAGGCGGCAGGACCTCGAGATAAACTTGTCATTTGAGGAACTGCTGGAATTAAGGGCTCGTCAGATTAATGCCATAGAGGACATAATTGAAAGCGCGGCGAGTAAAGTGGCTGACAACCGACAGAGGGATAAGTTCAGATGGGATAAGATGCCAAGGGTAAGGAAGGAGCCTCTCAAGGTGGACGACGTTGTGCTGCTATACGATTCATCCTTAGAGAAGCAGTGGTCGCGAAAGTTGGACAAGAGGTGGTTAGGACCATACAGGGTCGCCAGAAGTGGAGAGCATGGGGCATACCAGATTGAAGAGCTGAATGAGACTGCTTGGAAAGATTGGGTGTCAGGCTCGAGGTTGAAGAAGTTTGTCGCTCGAGACGAGGTGAGCATGGGTCCCACAATTTAGAGTCCCTTTCTGTTAAGTATTACTATATATATATATATACATATATATATATATATATATATATATATATATATATATATATATATGAGAAAATTGTGTATGTTTTTCAGTAGAATAGTGTGATAGAGTATAGTATTAAAATAGATTTATATACGTGTATTTACACATGTATGTATAGGTAGTTAAGGTAGATATGGGAGGAGAGTGTCTGTCTCCTGTTTTGTTTGCCGAACCTGCTTACCCTCTGTGTGCTTTTGTCTGTCTCTTCCTTATTGTGCAGGCTTGACACCAGTTTTGGGCAGCCATGCCAAGAGGGAGGGGAGGGGCAGGGCCAGTGGAAACCCTTCTGGGGGTTACCAGACAGGGGGCGCAGGTGAGGGCCAGGAGAGAGGACAGGCCACTCATTTATACAGGAGACAACGTTGAGTTGTTCATGGTTGTGTTCAGGAGGCACGGTCATGGGTTTGGATAGGATAGTAGCAGGATGCTGCGGGAGGTGCGAGGAGCAGGCGAGTGGGCACACCCCCTTGCCAACTTCGTCAGGGAGTCATTGACCTGACAGGATTTTGAGCAGAAGATGGAGGACTTGCACCCATCGTCGCTAAGAAGAGATGGACGACCCATTCGTTTCGATGTCACTAACCTGTAGGAGTTCTTGAAGGGCTAGGACGAGTTTGCAAATAGCATCAACGAGCCACTAAGCCAGAGGGTGAGGGGTTTTATTCTGTTTGTGAGAGAGCACCTCAGGCCGTTCGTCAGGTCTATTGTAGAGCCTGCCCAGAACTGGGGCCATTGCAAGAAATTGCTCTGGAATCACTATACTCCAACACGTCAGGCTGAGGAGAGGGGAGTATGGGAAGAAAGAGAAAAGAGCCAGAGACAGCAGAGAGGAGAACCTCTAAGCGGGGCATGACCTCAGGAGCTCAGGGGGATGGCCAGAGGAGAGAACACAGGTCCCAAGGGCAGGAGAGACGGGAGGACCAACATATTGGCAGGACTCAACAGAAAGAGAAGCAGACTGCAGAGAGGACCCAAAGGGGAGGACCCTCAGAGGGACCAGATATACCTCCTCAACCTGCTCAGATACCTGAGGCCACTCCTAGGCCAGGCATGCAGCCAGAGACGTCTCATAAGGCACAGGGTCAGGGACAGGATGAGGATCAGGCTGCAAGAGAGAAGGAACAGGACAAGGAAGAGAGAGCAGCAATAGAGAGAGAAATCAGAGTCCAAATCAGACTCAAGAACATGGCGGAGCTGCATGAGAAAGTTGAGCAGGGAGAGCAGCCTGTGATACTAGAAGACAAAGAGGGAAATGGCTCACCCACTCAAGACGATGAGACTCCTCTTTTCACGGAGGCTTGGGACAACTTTGATAAGCTGTTGGAGGCAGCAGGGAGACCCAGAGAGCAGCATCAGGAGATCGGGGTTAAGCTGGTCTCTACAGACTTGATTAGCCTGAAGGGCCTTATGAAGGAGGGCTTTGCGACGACCAAGACTTCTGATGAAAAGATGGAGAAGAGGTTGACAAGGGTGGCGCGGGCGTCTCATGAGCAGAAAATGGATTGGTAGAAAGAAATTGGTGATCTCAAGAATGAGTTGGAGAGACAGGACAAGAAGATGGAAGCCATGAAGACTGAGGTCGAAAAGGCCTGGGCAGGCAACGAGGCCATCAGACAGGTCAACCAGACCCTCAACAAAGTTAACGACACCCTGAGGACCTACTTGCAGGTACAACATAATATTTTTCAGGCAAAGGAAGCCAAGTGGGAGAAAAGGATAGAGGATCTTGAGGCCAAATGTGTACAACAGGCGCCGACTACGTTGGTGGATTGGACAGAGGTCCAGGGGTTTGAGATCAGGAAGAAGCCTGCAGAGGAGGCCTTCAAGTGTCAGAAGGTGGAAGAGAGGGCAAACGAGCAGAAGGATGATGAAATCCCCCTGCTAGATAAGAGGATGTTGCGGCCTAAGGAAACTCTAGCAGGGACGGGGTCAGAGACTGGGGGGTTTGAGTGGAGGATGCCCACAGTCTTGGCACATGAGGCAAGGCCACCAACAGAGGATGCGATGGATGAGGCTGCACTTCCCATGACTCAGGGGGAGACTGTGGGGCGAAAGGAGGTTCAGGAGAGTGTGGGACAGGCCATGGCTGAGGCTAAGGAGAGGGAGGAGCGGGAGGTCTCTCAGAAGACCCCACCACCTCAGGATATGCCTTCTGGAGGATGCACTGGGATCTTGGGCCACTGGATCCGGGGCAGAGGAGCGAGTGGGTGAGCAGATGACACAGACAGATGACAGAGCAGCATGCCCCATTCCTCCAGAGCACCCGCAGCAGGAGGTCACCAGCGAGGCCACAACAGCCCCCTCATTTGTACCCTCCCATGCAGCTGACAAGATGGAGCAGAAAAAGTTTGGAAGATGCTTCTACTGCAAAAGAGGCAAGCACCCATAGAAGACCTGTCCCAAAAGCCTCAAGGATGAGGCCGATGGTTTGTTTTCATGGGATCCATCTGGCATGCGCAGGGACAGAGATGGGAACCTGATGCTGAAGACTCGTAATGAGATACGGGCGCAGTTGTATAGGCAACTGCAGGAGGACATGAGTGATCAGGAGTAGGATTTATGAATAGGGTCCGAAAAAGTCTAGATTCTGATATGTGTAGAACATCTCTAACTCACTACTGGTGGATGACTGTATACATGGAGGATTGGATCACGTCCATGTACATCAGTTAATTGAGTCATTACAGAAGTGTTTACTTTCACATATAGACTTTCAGACTTAGTGTACATAGGATAGTATTGAGTGTGACACTGACTACTTCGGTTTTCCTTTCTCTTTGTTAGTGTGGTGTGGAGTGTTTCTAGCCTCTAGGTAGTGCTTTTGTGTGAGTTTATGATTCTTTCTCTTTCAGCACAAGGTGAGTCAAACAGTGTGTGAGTGATGTGAGGTGTGGATACTCTGACTCTCTTTTACTTTTTGACTTTCTCGGATATTTTGACTTTTTTTCAGGTACCTTGATCCTTGGTTGGATACTGTGACACTTGGTACGATACCCCGATACCTTGTATGATATTTGATTTCTTTATGCGATATTTGACTCGTTGTACGATATTTTGATCCTTTCGATATGGACAGGAACCTTTGCTTATTTGAAAGGTCCCCGCGTTCTGTGTACTTGTGCGAGTCTCAGACTTTTTTCTTTTTATGTGGTGTGTCACGCTCACTCTCAGTTGTGGACTTGCCCATATGAATGATTATTGTGACGAGAATAAATGTTGTGGAAATAACATGATCTGCACTATCTTCCTCTGTACTCAGGCATATCTGTCATTAGAACAGACGAAGTCATAAGTACAGTGAAAAAGAGTGCACCTCACGTCTGTTTGGAAGAAGGAATTATGTGTTGAGTTCAAAAGGATCTGAGTGATGATAAATGGAGAGGTCACAGCTAAAAGTAGTGTCTTTTGTGTGGTTCGGAAACGAGAGAAGGAGACTCAATGGCCATTGGGTCCTCCATATATATAAGAGTGGAACTATGAGAGAGCACTCAAAAGAGTTGCTATAATGATGAGGAAATTGTATGTATGTGTGAAAGTCTGACGAGGGAATGTCAAAATCTTTGTGAGAATTATGGATGAAAATTTTATGGCAATTATGATAGGAAACTTTTGTGAGATGTCCCTAAGACGTGTGACCGCCGCCTGTTCTGATCAAAGTAAAGCGGGGCACGACCTTGTGGATAAGAGAGAAAGTTGCTGGAACACAGAGAGAAAGAGACACTATCCCCCCACATGGTCCGAGGTTGGGAGGGTATGTGAATCTAGAGGTTGTCCAGAGCTATTTGTCAGACCACAATGGTTAGTCTAGGGGAACATATGTTGTGAGGCCAAGCTAAGGGGCTATACTTAGCATCGCTGGAACTGTAGAACCTAACTCCCAGTGAGGGTCGCTGACCGGCGCAACCTGGCAGCGGGACCACGACTCACCGATGGTTAAATCTTGAAGGGTCGGCCGCCCAGAGAGGTATAGCTAAAGGGGAGTCAGTGGGGTTGATTGAGTCTGAGAGTCGATAAGTACGCTTATCGTTGCGCAACCAACGAGGGCATCATCACTATATAACAACGCGATGAGCCGTGGATACGGTGTGATCGACCGTTCTGCGGTGGGCCGAGATGGAGACCTGAAACCTCCTGTGTAGACACCAGGGTGGACAGTTATTATGAGAGATATTTGAGATGGTAAAAATTACCATTTTGGGGACTAAAGGTGCCCCGATTTTTGAGAGAGGTCTCGGTTAGGGCCCGCGTCCTGAGTTATGACCCCGTACGCGGGACGATGACTCATTAGGACACCCAACGACAAACCGGCAGATGTCTACGACAAAGGGAGGAGGGCTATCAATCTACTACTTGAAAGCGGGTATTACGCTGTAGTACGGATGATAGTACACCCTAACTCCTAGGCCAAGATGTGGGAGACCCAAGCTAAAACCCTGGCAGTGGAACGTCGTGACTGGGGTAGATTGACAAGATGCCTCTAACGGAGTCGAGCCGGCTAGTCGGAATGGTTACTACCTCGTCAGCAGATGGGAGTTTGAGTGCTTATAGCCTTTGATTGTTCGACGCGACGGGGACGTCGCTTAATACGGTCCGGAAAAACTGTCGGCACCAATACCCTTACAAGGGTAATTGTGCGTACTTTTGCATCTCGCAGGAGGAACATTCTTGATAAAATTTAAGGAAGTGGCATGCATTCGCTCGATCGCGACTGACTCTTGGAAGTCAGGAAGTGGCGGCGCACGCTTGGATGAGTCAGAGGGTGTGTATATGGGCGTGCACTTTGTGGGCACGCGTTAGTTAAAATTTTTGACTAGTGTGAACAAACGAACCGCTCGGTAGTCCAAGTTAGAAATAAGTTAGAGGTTTGGATAGCGTAGCGCGGGCCTCACCTTCGGGCGCACTGACGAGGTCGCCACCGGCGCAAAGTTAGACCGTCGAGGCTATGGCTAGAGGAAAACTTTCGATTAACTTGCGGAAGGGCGGCATTTTGAGGCCGCACGATGTGAAGCATGCAAGTACTACGTTTGACTATAAAGGTATTTGCAGTAGGAGCCGTAACAAATTTTAGCTAGGCACGACGCGTGGATACGGCGTGAGCAAAAGTCGGAGTCTTTCCGACCAAAGACGATAAAAGCATGCTCTTTTCGATGAGTACGGCGGGCTACGAGAGCCTCGGCTCGTGACCGCGGCATGACGGGGCAGTGCGTATGGTGAACTCAGCAAATAGTCGTCCTCCAAGCGGAGAACATGGCCGTACGGGGTCTTGGTCTCAAGGGGCAGACCAAGAGAGGGCATTGGCGCACCCTTGCAGGCCCGGGAAGGCTGTAACAGCCTGCAGTTACTCTTCATATGCAGAACTGGGCCTGCTGCAACCGGACTTGGGCTTAGCTCTATAGGTTACGTCATTGGACTTCCACCAGGAACATCCCGGGATCAAGGCCAGCAGCCAGCATTACAGGAGCGGAGGAGCGTTTCCTGGAGAAGACTGAGGGGTTGATTGAGGGGTTGACGATCCTGCAGGACGATTCCCCTTAGTTTTGCTGGGGAGTCCTACCGCGGGCCCGAGAGGGAGGGTTGAGGACCAAGTACCAACGACCTCCTCCCCCTATTCCGATTTTCTAGGTTTTTTATTTATTATTGTTATTTTTTTTACTTTCATTTTCTTTTTCCCTTATTTCTTGTTTTTGTCCCATATGTTGAACGTGGTCCGGCAGTGGCACCGGAACCGGCCGTGACCAGGGGACACAGCGGACACCGACTTCGATCCGCTGTATGAGGCGTGGGTGTGAGCCTGCCCAGTTCCATCTTGCTGTGAGAACTTTGTGTGTGGGCCCGCCCAGTCCCATTTCTGCAATAAGGGGGTTGAGCGTGACCCTGCCCATCAAGGCCGGTAAGGCATGGGACCGGTTACACAGTTTTTTCGAGGTTCCAAAGGTACCATTTGGTGTATGACCGCTTGACGGCAGCCGCAATTGTGTAGCCGCGGGGTACAAAAATTCACGGTCACATCCGAGGGCGACCACAAATGCCTATTTTTGTTATTTTATTTTTCTAAAGCTTCGCTGACAAGAAGTTTGCACAGTTGTGGATGGTGCTGTGCGACCTRCGAAGCACCAATTTGCTGTTCCTACAGACAGCCAAGGCTTGTTCCATCTGAAGAGGTACAGCAGTGTGACCTGACCGTGCCCAGAACCTCAAAAGTTGGCCTATCCCAGATCTGCATATTTCGCAGATTTGGGGTGCGGTGTGAGCATGCCCGGTTGGGACCCGCAGATGGTGAACCGTGCCTAGGCACAGCAGGGCGGGAGACTGGGGGCAGTGGCCGCTGCAGCAACACTGACTGTGCGCAGCCTTTCACATGGAACCCTTTGCCACACCGGTCTTCAAAGTTCCTATCTGAGAGCTGCTACTACCACCAAGATATGCAGCGGGACCTGCGTCACCTGGGATCACGCTGCAAGGGTTGCAGGCCCCGCACTCCTCTACTCTTCACGACAACCGAACATAGGCCGCACACCCGGCATCATGGGACCAACAAAGTACCGATCCGACATTGCTGCAGGCACGTAGGGCCTTGTCCCATCTGAAAAGGCACAGCAGTGCGACCCGAACCATGCTCAAAGCCTCGAATTTGGTCTGTCCCAAATCTGCG